ACTGGCAACTCAGTATGTTTTAAAATATCCTCTATGTTGCTTTAAAGTAATCCTGGAGAATAGCTCTAAATCCTGAAAAACTGAAACCAAAAATTGAGTCCTTTCTACCATCTTCCTAAACTATAATAAATCACAAATTCCAAATCTCTGACTATAAAAAAAGTCCTGTTATTTAATGCATAACATAATCCATTTATGCATAACATTTCATCCATAAAATGGGTAACTGGATGCTACGGCTATAGTTGATTCTGCTAATAGATGGACTGGTACTTTAATTATTTCCCAGGGTCTCTTTCAGCCCTATTTTTATGATGCTGTACTGAATATCCGAGTGAAATCATCAAGACGTTTGCATAACATCTGTATGCCCAGTTGACCCAATTTGTTCCTGCTAAGATACTGCCCATAGGGAAAAGCAAACAGAAGACATGCGTTTGTGCCTATGTGGGAAAAGGAGATCTTCCCACCTCTTACAGCAAGTTGTCAGTGAGTATGAAGGTTAAGTGGGCACACCGATTCATTAGGTGCTTAAAGAAAAAAAGTATGTTTAGGCTGATTAACTACAACTGAGCTGATTTAATAAAAGGACAAATCTAGAGCTAAACTAACGAAAATACCCTGTCTTGTCACATACTGCCTACCTGCAACTTGAACTAAGCTGCAGATTTTGTGCATTATGTGCAACAACAACAACAACAACAAGGATTTCTCACTTTAGGCAAATTCCAGCCTTCTGGATAATGACTGACAGTTAGAGCTTTACATATATTTTTTTTATTATTCCTTTGAAGTCTTCATATTAATAAAACAGAAAGTTTGAACGGCCTGAGTAAGAAGGGAGTGTGCTCAGTCTAAGACGCACAGAGCAAAATAATCCTCAGCTCCAGACAGCAGTGCTTTGGTAGCTGCTCCTAGACCTTACAGCAGGTTAATCAGGAGTAGCTACCACTTATGAGTTGTCTTCTACTGCTGACTTGACCAAAACCCCTCAACCACTTACTACTGCAAAATTAAAGGTTTCAAAAGTCCCCCCTCTTGCATGAAGAAAGAAAACCACCATCCTCCTTTAAACACTCCCAGCTTTTTTATTCACAAAACAGAAATGCACATCCACCCTGCCTTTCTGACTTTGTGCACATACAGAGGGGCTTATGTTAGAACAGGGAATCTAAAATATCAATAGATTAACTCACTGAATATATAACTTGCCCCCATTGGAGCAGAATGCTAAACACCATTTGCTTCAGCCAAGAGCATAAATCAGTGAGTGATTATCTGCGAATTGTTGCCTGTCTATAAAGGAAAATATCCATCAATGTATAACCTGAAGCATAAAGGATTGCTTGTGTATTCTGTCCTGATTTATGTTCTGTGGATGTTATTTATCACAGTCTTTTACTGGATCAACTTCAATGGATTCGAAGTGGTTGAAATTCAGTCACATTTAAAAAACCACAAATCTGTAGACTTAAGAGCAAGAGTCATGCAAGCTGAAAAAAAGGTGAGATGTTTTGAGACAGAAAGACAAATGTAGTTTTGAGAACACACAACTGCTATCAGCAAACACAATGGAAAACAGGTTCTGAGAACATTCAGCATAACACTGTATCCCCTTCTAAATCCTTTTATAACTAAACCTTTGTAGTTCTTAACCTGGCATCTGAGCAGTAAGAAAAAATTCCTCACTATTTTGGCAGATTGCTCATAATCTAAGTGGTTTCTCTTGTATCTTCCTTCGGAAAACACAAAGACAAACATGTTTTCCAGAAACACAAAGACAAAAGTGCACAGCCCTCCCCTTCTGCAATATGGCAGTTCTCATGTTTATGGCTGGAAAGCATTTTCTGTGGTGTCAAAATGATCAACAGTAAGAGAGGACCAGAATAAGATTCAGATATTCAGATGATAAACTGTGAAGGAAATGGGGACAATCTGGAGGATGCATTTCTCAAAAGCAATGATTGAGGTTTTGCATTTTTCCTTGAAAATCAATCTTTTCTTTGGTGTACTTTGACTAAGACTATTACATGGCTAAATGGGAAACGAATTAAACTGCAAGATCACTGGGCAAGTGATCTCTGATGTGTTTCAATTCACTCAGGACTTTTAATCCCATAGTTGTTACCTACCATGGACAAAATACGATCTGTTATAGGACTAACACAATTCTTTGGTTTTGCTAGCTTAAACCCGCAAGTCTAAGCAGAAAGAGACTCTGGAACAAACTCCAGTGAACTGCTCTGAAGATGGAGATACAATTCTGTGCTTAACCAAATGCTAGCAAGACCATAAAGATCAGACACACAGACATGTAAGGTCACTGAGGAAGACACCCACCAGACCACTGCTTTACATGGACCAGACTAACTAGACATGGAAATCATTTTCAAACAACAGATTTGCTAGTTGCTTTTCTGATAGAAATGACCAGTAGGTTAGCACCAGTATGAGAAAATATTTTGTTAGATCCAACAACAACAAAAAAGGCAAAACCCCAAAAAAACCCAACCAAGTGAAAACCAACAAAAGGAGAAACTGGACAAATTTTTGTAGGATGTAGAATTATGAATTATCAGAACTGATGAACAGAATTTCTTATATGGCACCAATTGCAATCGAGAAACAAAAGGAGATAATACTAGTGAAAGCAGACAAATTAAGACTACCTTGTTTGACAGGTATTTAACGCCTCCATTCACAACATTGTCCCTAAGGGCAGAATCGGGCATGACCATCCAAGACAGAGGTGTTCCCTCAAGGGTACAAAGGAGACACAGATTGCTTATTCAAGCAGCCTCCTGTCATTTGAAATTCAAAGTGCTGCTTTACTTTCCGAGGTCACTCAAAACTCTCCTGTGACTGAAGTCATAACTTGAATTTATTTATTCCATACCCTATTACTAGTTCACTGGTAACCCCCGCTCACCATGCTGGCCATTCACTGCATCACGTGGCTGCTTTTCTACACTAGAACAAATCAGCCCGTCCACAGATGCCTTTGTAAGCACATTGTCAACATTTGTTCCACTGCAACACTGAAGCAAAGTGCTGGCCTTGTGGAAGCAAGATATCAGTGCAGCAACTCGACTTACCGGTGATACGACTAGGGTTTCCCTCCTCTTCCTCCTCACTGTACTGCGCTCCTGCCAAAAGTTACTTTACAGAGTTACTTACAGGAGCACAGATTGCCCTGGAGATGACAGACAGGGCTGCCTCTATTGTCTGGCCCAGCACACTCAGAACAAAACGAGGACCAACTGCAGAAAGAGACGTTTGTAACGCTTTCTCCAGAACATCAAACAAACAGAGTGAATGCGCAGCTGGCCTGGTAGCAGCAACAGAGCTGAAGCCTTTGCTCTTCGTTTGGCAGGAAGAGCTGCGGTGCCTGCATAGGAAGGAAATATTTTCTTTTCACCAGACCTCTTTGCCACATTCAAGAGCACCAATGGTATGATACAGCAGCTGACTTAGGAAGTGGATAGAGCCTGTTAAGATTTTACTTTTAGAAAATACCCAGTATGCTCCTGATCCAGCATACATGGATTTTTCTAGGTTCGTATCAACCTTGATTATTACACCTCCAGTAATACAGAAAACAAGATCCTGTGCTGAACAAATTCAAAGAGAAAAGTCTTCCTCGGGAATAGAAAACTGCAGAACTAAACAAGATTTGTATCACAAACCAACTTCAAACATGTAAAATAAAATCACCAAGTGAAGGATTTAATATTGGGTTCCTAAGATTCTATCATGCTGACAGTTTCTGTGATTAAAAAAGCCACGAATCTTGTTCTCAGAAATTCATTATGTTGCATTGTACACTAGAATACAGGATGCTGTTATACAACCAAGCATCCAGGGAGATTAACCCCGATTAAAAAAAAAATCTCTGGGAAAAGCAGCCACTTAACAGAACAAGGACAACGGCAGTATAAACTACCAGATGTGTGCAATTGAATCAAGTTGGATGTTAGGAAGTATTATTTTACCAAACAACAAATCTAACAGAAATATTACCCTTGATCCTAAGAGATTCTGAGTACAAAGTTCCCAGTTAATTTCCCACCAAACAGAGCAGTATCTTCACAGAGAGAGAGAGGACTAAAATGACCTGGAACATTCAGGAATATGTTTCTCCAAAGAACAAAGGAAAAGGAATTCAGGGAAGCCATGAAGGAGGGTGTCCTGAGAGACATGGTGAATATGAACAAAGGGGCAGTCGAAGCCACACTGCAATGACACCTGTGGGCAACAATCGAGAGACAAGGGGCCAGGAAGAAGACACAGCCAAGCTAAGAGCAGAGTAAAAAAGCCTTTGGCTGAGCTGGAGATAAAAGCTGTGTAAGAATTCTCTTCCTACCTCCTAAAGCTATCCTCCCACTACCTATAGCCACTTCAGTGCTCAATCTCAACGTGCAGTTAAATAATTTCTGTGCTACAGCTCTATTTCATGATTCTGAAATTCTACATATACATTACACAATTAAAACGGCTAAAGCTTTTCCTGACAGTTTTCTTCATTCAAATATACAGGCTCATTCTTCCAACTACGAAGCATCATTAGTACTTGCGAGAAGTCTGCTCCTTGCACTAAACAGAACTGCTTAGCTGACTTGTAAGGCATTTACTGTAACTGCTTTTGGGCACAAAGCAAGCAGTCTTTTTTTTTCCTTTTTCCTTTTTTTTTTCAGTAAAGTGTCAGAACTGTCAGAAATATCTATTAGCACAGAATTTGTCCAAGAATTCTATCGTACTGCTGTTATTACAGGAAAGACAAGAAAAGTAATCTCAGACAAGGACATATGACTTGGCAGACATGTGAAGCACAGATATCAGCCTAATATTCCAAGAACAAACTTTACTGCCAGCAAGCTGACAGCTACAGTTCATCCGCATCTGCTGTTTCCCATGAACTGCACTTTGCAGAAGTGTGAAGTCAGACACTTAACAATTCTATCAAGTTAAGATGTTAAAGAAAAAAGTCAGCACTCTGAACCCATATTAAAAAAAACCACTTTAATACGTTTTTTTCCAAGATCTAATATATAAATGCAATGGTAATAACATACTCTTCCTTTGTAAGCTTGGATGAAATACATTGAAGTCCACTTTTCGCATACTATATAAATAATCATCTAAAGCAACCTAGAAAAGAAGAAGAAAGCTTAGTCCATATGGTGCACACAAATAATTGGGCATTAAGTTTAGAAAGCAATACATGAAACCAAATGAGGAACTGCAAAAAGTCTTGACAGTTTGCCTGTTCTATTAAGTGGTAGTGTAACCATCACATTCAAAGGATATAAAAAAAGGCAGGTTTTGTGAAGAGAAGCATTATCTTTTACTTGCCCAAACAGCAAATTATGAGAATAGACTAGATTTTGAGCCCTTACATCAGAACGATGGTCTATGAATATACAGACATCTTGGGCAAAATGATGCAGTTAAACAAGGATTAGAAGTGTTGATCAAAACTATATGAGGTTCCAGAGTCAGGCACACACTATGATTTCACAAGTTTTAGGTATTACATCCTGCCAAATCAGACAAATGAAGCATTAGTTAACCATGCTTAATTTAATACTCTACTCTTCACAAACATGTTAGCACAGAAATAAGTCCATCACTTAAAAAGTGCATATCACACCCACCGTACAGAAAAAAGCAGGATATGCCTTCACAGGAACTTTCTTACTGAAAGATCTAGCCTGAAAGTAAATGGGATAAAGTGGGAGAAAAAAACAAAAACAAAAAGCAAATGTACTTATCAGGAGAATTTAACATTTCAGATTAAACATCAAGAACTATATATAATGGTTACAAGGAACAGACTGTATTACAAGCTTCGTCCCTTTTTGACATCCTGAAACTATTGTTTTCCATTGTGCAAGCCAGCACCATCCCTCACTGTATACAACAGTAATTCCACAGAAAGCTACATACTTTTTTAAATTTTATTTTTAACTATTTTATTACATATACTGGGAGAGGCCTGCTAAAATTCTTATGCAAGTTGACAACCTTACAGTTTACATACAACAAAGCAATGCAAATCAGCATCCCTTATTCCAACGAAGTTCCAAGTTGCATCTGATTTAATAAATATGGTGTAACCCTCCCCCACACCCCCCCCAAATAACTCTTTGCAACCCAAGAGACAGAAATGATGGAAGACCAGAAATGCATTTTGCTGACTGCATCTTTTTGGTCCAGTGCTGCCATCAGTGCTGGAAGTCCAGTTATGCTCCATTTACATTTATGGGACTTCAAAAGGATCTAAATGCCTCAGGTCCTCAGTATCTACACATAAACAGGGTCTAAACCATGGCTGAATCAAATCTACAATATAAATCCATGTGCAATTTGGGTACATCTAACAGAGCTCAAGCAAATCTTCCTGTAATTCTTATTTATAAATATAGAATCCCTCCTTGTTTTGCCTTTTCTTACAGGTTAAAACAAACAAACCAAACAACCCACCCACCTCTGTGAATACTGATGAGAATGTATGAGTTTTTTAGCTTTCCACGGCTCTTTCCAGACAACTGAGAAAATCAGGCTGAAACTTTAGGACAGAAAAATACTGAATCTTTTCAGGAGGCAAATTCTTTTAAAACTTTGAGATGTAACATATATATGTGCGTGTGCATATATCTACTTTAAAAAGGAAAATGCTCTTCCCTGATCTAATGTTCTGCCTTACTATTATTAATTGCAAGATGAAAAAAGAAAGTAATCTTGCTTGACCTTCTTAACCCAGAATGGGTTGCATGTCACTCAGAAAGCATGTTATCTTCCCTGGTAAACTGAGTCCATAACGATCTAGCATAATTGAGATAAATGCAAAAAGCCAAAAGGAGACCATGTTTTAAAAAGAAGAATGGGGGAAAGGGTGCTTAAGAGAAAGAGGGTGAACATGTAACTGTATTCGCAGGCTAAGGGATCACTGTGGGACTAACAGAGCACTTTTATTATATGCCTTTATTCTAATAAAACACACAATTTCTAAAGAAAACTGCCATCTTCACTACCTTATTTTGCCCTCTGCTGGTCATCAGTCGCAGTATCAGGAAGATACTTTACTCCCAAGATTTAAGTACCACATCACTACAATATGCTTCATATAATATCGCTGAGACTTAATTTAACATTTGAGGATTATGTTTCTTCTGACTGGGAAATGGGGCTGGTAACTGCTACCCTCATCCTCCAAAATACATGGTTTGTGTAACAAATGCTGAGACTGTTGAAACCTCTCTGCAAATTTAAACTTTACCCTACTCTGTAATTCCAACTAAGAAGGGGGTAAGTGGCTGAAAAGACCCTCAGGCAAAACAAGATAGTGATTTTATACAGGAGAACAGATATATTTAAAGGCACCAGCCCATTACATTCACCTAAAGTCCTGAAATACCCGTAAATTTTGCCAGCAAAAGCCTATTTCATCCGTTGGGGAGAAAGTATCTTTATCCTTGCATTAACAAAGACCATCTGATTATTAAGGAGGCTGATACCCTGTTATTACTGCCAGTTATTGCCAGTTCAAGTGGTTTGCACACTCTAGAGATCCTGCACTGTCAATTATTCTTCACTGATGATGATGGAGGCTGGAATCAAGTATTCAGAGAGGGTTTTTTTAATTTTAATTAAGATGATATAACTCGTCTATTAAAAAAAAAAGGGAGGGGGCGTATGCCAGGATCAACTTTCAATTGAATAAAATGCTAATGCTGCCCTAATCTGGTTTCCTTGTGTTTACACTTTTCTGTATAGTCTCCAACTACATGATCACATCGCATATTTTCCATAGGACCCTGCCAGCGCACTACATGGGCAGGGCTCTAGGAATGGAGTGAGAATAAAGAGGGGGGGTGAGGTTCTGCCTGTTCTCTTCAGAAGCTGGTTGGCACACTGGGTGCCAGGGGACCAACGCATTAAGAATTATCAAATTATCTGAAAGGCTGGGAAGAACTGAATTCCCTCCCTGCTTCTGTCCCAAAGGTTCCAGGCAACACAAACAACCAAATTTTAAACATCTAGACAAGAAATACACATTGCTCATTTTCCATGCCTCCCATCCCTGATATGAGGCATTTCAGGCCAGGTACTTGGCATTTTTGTAAGCCACATCTGCAACCAAAGCCAAGGGGTTTTATACACTTTGCACTATGGGTTGCTGGGCGGGGAATTAAAAAAAAAAAAAAGAAAAATCGAAATATTTCAGCATGAACAAAGATAGCGGACAGTTTTGGCATTGCATTTTCTTTGTCTCTGTTCCCTGCTTCTAAATGGAACAAACAGTCTCCTTGGGCATGTGACAATAGAAACTGAGACATGTGGGAAACAACATGAGTAGGAATGCATTAAATGCAAATTATAAATAGTCTCTATTAAAAATGAAGCCCAAGGCAATGTATTATTAACAAAAAATAAAAACGTTAATCGACTAACCAACCACTGACTGAACAAACCAGGGATGCCTCATTTTACCTTTATTTTCTTTATTTTGAAGCGGTATCTTTTCAGATGACCTTGATTGCAAGTATTGGGTGCAATACTCAAAGTATAAGCGTACGTGTACTTGCAGACATAAGAAATTCTTCACAATGCTTCTTGCAAGTTTTGTTTTCCAGATAAAGGCAGGCACAGCATTGCTGATGAACCATTCTTTTGCTTTTGTGTTATGTACCAAGAAGCAATTCAGAGTGTAGCTAAAATAAGCACTTAAAATAAAAACAGAGTAGGACTCTGCAGTTCTTCAGAATTCATTATTCACTGTTCCAAGCAAATAAAGGCTTTCTTAATTCACTTGGCTGTGAGGCAGAAAAGAAATAAACAGAAAGCATCTTTCCCAACATAGCTTTGAGCATGGCTGGTCATGTTAGGAAATGAATCCTCCCTCCCACACACACTACCCAGCAGTTAAAGGCAACACGCTCTGCTCTCCTGGCAGCCACTCCACTGTGCTGTGAAGTACCATATGCGGAAGTGCTTTCTGCGGTGCTGATCCCATGCTAGCATATAGCTGCTTTTATAAAAGTCTGCTTGAAGCTTCTCTCCCAGTAATAAGGCTTTTAGGCAGTATTTATATATATGCAATTGGACCTGGCTGTGAGTAAACTGCCTCCTGTACATACAGATAAGTATAATATTTTTACACAAGTAGTTGTAATATTTAAAGGTTTTGTGTGGTGGTTTTGGTTTTGTTTTTTAATTTGAACTCTCAAAGTAATTAAAATATTTGAAATTAAATATGCAGCTGTAGGTCTTCTAACAAAACATATGCACAATGCTTTGTGAAGATTAGCATAAATTATGTTCATTTAAATAAATAAAAGAGAAGGAATCTCACATGTTCTAGATGAATATGGGCCTGGCTGGCAACGTCATAAATTACATCTCTCACATTTTTCTCTTGCTTGCCTCTTATGAAATCCTCTTGTGAAACTCCATGCTAGACATAGGAAGGAAAAATCAAAGAGAAAAAACAACCCAATAAATACCAAGTTTCCATTTTAGCTTCTCAAAAACCTTTCCCAGCAACCGAACTAGTAACACAAGACTGAAACAATCTAAATGTTTTGCCACTGACCCCTCCTTTTTTATTTCCCCTTTTTTTGTCAGTCACTTGCAAAAAAAAAGTCAAGAGAACAAAGACAACAGTTGGTACAGACTCTCTCTGCATGAATTTGTTCCCTAAAGACTTTGTGGTGAGTCACATAACCAAGTCAGATCTTAAAGTTTTGGCAATTCAGATCAGCTTAGATGCCCAATTTTTAAAACGATAACCCAAGGATCGATATTAAGCAGAAGAAAGCCAGTAACAGCTAACACAGAAGCCATGCTGGCTTATGAAGTTAGTCATTATCTTGGGGCTTGGTGTGTGCTACCAGGCTTGCAAAAAAAACAAAACAAACAAACCCCAACAAAATCAAAACAAACCAACCCCAACAAAACCAAAACAAACAAACAAAACCCCAAACAAAACCACTCCCAAAAACTAAACCAAAAAAAAAACCCAACCCCAAACTTATTCTCTGACTATAGTGACCAATGTGAGATATAATATGGTATATTCAGAATTGCACCAGTTCTCAACAACACACAGACACGTGAAAGCTGTATAAAGGTAGGCAGGTAGGCTTCACAGGAGACTCCAGCAGAACTCTGCGATACTTGCCAGCAGTTGAAATGCTCACAAGACGCTCAGTCTGCCCAGAAGGGATGCAAGCTGTTTTTACAGTTTCACTGTAAAACACCTTCCGTGGCAAGGAATGACTGTGAATTTTCAGGCTATGTTTGAAAAGTTAAAAACTTGGAAGGCCTCCCATACCATCCAGTCCCAGAAAGGCTGAAAGCAGGGTGCAGCTCCTTTCTGCAGTCTTATAACTCTGACCTGTATTAGTATCTACATTTTTTACAACTATGTAAATTACTAAACTTCAAATCAAAACTTTCAGCCGTATTAAAATGATATTCAGAAAATACTAACACAACGGCCTTAAGCACCACCACAATTACATAAATTTTTGTTAAGTGTAAAAAGAACAGCATTAACATTTAAAAATAAAGACTGGAGATGAAAGAATAACAGCTGAGATGCCTACAGATTAGCCAGAGAACATTAATGAAAAAATTCAAGCTTTAATCCCATTTTACCCAAATTGCAAGATCTGCTAAAGTCCAATGCAAATCAGGTGTACAGTTTAAATTGGAGGACTATACCATCTCCTACAGCAACGCATGGAAGGTATGCTTATAGCTATCAAATATGTAACAAAAACACCCCCAAAACCACAACCCAAGAATCAAAAAAAAAACAAATTCACCAGCACATTTATGAAAAGGTAGTAGAGAAACATGAGAAGATTGTTCAGAAGTAAAATTTCTCACAGTGCTTCCTTTATGGGAATAGGAAAAAGAAAAAAAAACCCAAACAAGAAAAACCCCAAACTCAGGCCCCATTCCATATGTATATTTCTACACATTCATGGAAAAAATCCTGAAAGCTAAAAATATTACTACATTTAATTAAATAAAATAAAAACCCAGAAACCCTAGAATTTTGTGAAGGTCACTCCTCTCACCTCCCAACATATAAAACCATGACAGTGGCATACTACTGGGCCACAGCAGAAAGCATTAAAATAAAGAAGAAAGGTGTTCTGTTTCTGGCCTAATAGAGTATGATCTCATATACAGTACTGAGAGACACAGTTAGACCACACTGTTCAATTCCAGGCAACTGGCTTCTCTTACCAACATACAAATGTCCATGGGAAGAAAGACCTTTTGTCTCGTACTATGATATGGAGTTGCTCTTAAACAGGTAACTATGCCTTGCGCTTTCCCAACATGGCTGGCTGCATGGTCAGCATGGATGTCCCTCACACCTAAAATAGAAATAATATGTTCAGAAACATACTGTCAGATCTTTGAGGGGTATAGCGGTCCCTGATGTGTATCACAGTCATATTTAAGGAAATGTAAGTGCATTGGTCCATGGCAGACCTGTCTATGTTCATAAATTGTCTTGAGATCTCATCTCAGAGGTGCAAAGGAGTGGGAAAATTCATTGATTTCCACATTCAGGAGTGAGATACCTCTTAGCCTGTTGCAGTTTCTGCAAATGGTACGCTTAGCAGAGCGGCACCTATTCAGATGTAACACATCAGTACACAAACTCATTTTCATTGGCATGTCTTCTCCCAGAGTAACAGTATTCTAAGAACTGTTTATCCTGCCAGAGAAATCATTCGAGTGTGAGATTCCTGAGAAGCATTAATGCTTACAGCCTGGTTTCCTGATTAGCTGCAGCCGATTCAGCAGCGTACTGAAGCCAAAGAGAATGGTCCTACGCTTCGCCCCCAAACTCACGTTTCTGCCACCTCCCTTGTGCTGTCATGGGCAATGAGGCAGTAGCATGGTAAACTGAATTAGACCACCAAAGCAATGGAAAACTAACTTTAGTTACTGCATGGTCACACAACTGTGAGACCTGAAAGAATAGATGAGTGAGGCAAGAGCAGCACTATTGCTCTTCGTGGCAAGACCATACAAGGTTGGCTTAGACCAATCAGAAAGCCATAATGTTTTCACAGCACTGACCCCAGATAAAATGAAAATTTAAAGGAAAATTGAAATTAAAATTCACGAAAGCTCTAACAGAAGCAGCATTCTACAAAGAAAGAAATGAGGATACAGGAATTACAGACCAGTGAGCCTAACTGACACCTGAAAACGATACTGGGAATACTAGATTCACTGCCCAAGCCTGCCCGAGCCTTGCACCAGTCTCAGAAACCTTTGCAAAACAGTGGCTATAGGTAGACTACACAAACTCATTTTGGCAATGGCACTAGCAAGTAGAGTGTGGCTTGTAGGAATCGATGGATATAACTTACTGACACTGGGCAGCTCAGGCTTTACATATAACTAGGAATTAAAAAAAAGAAAAAAGCTCAAAGAGTTAGCAATGACTCATGCTCAACCTGGGAATATAAGCCAGAAGTGAGGTTCTGAAAAGCTTTAACAAAATTATTAAGTAGAACCAGACTCCTAACTACCTAGGCAATGCATCAGAGAGCACAATATTAGTATTTTTAAATGACAGAGCTGGGAGGAAGTACCAGGACTTTGGACAACACGATTACCAGTAGTCAAAACGAGCCTGACAAAAGTAGTAACCCAAAATCAGTAAGAATAAAGCAACACTAAAACTGGAGACTGGTCAGGAATAAGGAAGCTAAAACCACAAGAAATTTAGCAAAAATTACCTGTAATGAAACCAGGTCCACCTAGTCTAGAAAAGACTGCTGATGGGGAACACCAAGGGCTATGTTCAATTAATTTCTCCATTTATGGAAAAAAACACAGAAGTTAACCATTTAATATGCAGTGAAGGAGATTTTTGCTTAGGTATTTTGTTACATTGGTATGTTTAAGAGAAGTTAAACTTAACAATAGGGCACCTAGAAAATCCAGAGGCCCCATAACAGATTTTCAAGAACAAGATCATCTGACTTAGGGGGGTTGGACTAGAAGATCTCCAGAAGTCCCTTCCAATCCCTACCATTCTGTGATTCTGTGACTTGTACCAGGAGTGAACCAAGCATGACCAAATTTCTTCAGGACTGAAGACATTTCTCAGAATGGAAGACACCAGTATTTCTCATACGCCCACATTTCTTCAATTAGAAGTTCAGAAAGACTCTTGCAACACTTCACTGACTTCCTACTGAGGAAGTGAACATCAGATGTTAAGAGATAGGTTCCTCGTTTCTTCCAAAGAAGAACGTGCTCACCGTATCTTTTTATTTCTCTCTCTTTTTTCTTTTTGAACTCTTTCAACTTCAGCAGACTCTGATAAGCAAGAGAAAAGTATTGCTACTACAATACTAAATACTCTAATTATTCTCACCCTTCTTTTACATCTGAGCTCATACAGGGAATATTTCCGTAATGCAACAGACACCTAAGAGAAAGTTACCCTTTTCTTCTCTGCAAATGAAGAGTTCTTTCCCAATCTTTATGTTAGACAAAGATACTAGCTCTTTATATTAGACATAGATACTAGCTCTTACATCTTTATATTAGACACGGGTACTAGCTCTTAACCACAAGGATCATATCATCTTTGTTGCATTTTTTTCTAGCTATTCAATTATTGATAGTTAACCTACTTTTAGGAAGAGAAGAGGATTCAGACCCAAATTGACAACATCACTATACGAAGTTTATAGGTTGGGAAGTCAGCTGTTTCAAGACAACCAGTGTACATCACTGCAATACAGAACAACAGCTGCAGAACAACTACAGCACTTCGTGTTCTGACAAGAGGGACAATCAGAAAATATGGTGAAGAGCTGAATTTACCATACTCTGTAACAGAAACAACAAAAGAGAAAACAAAGCAACAAAGAACATTGCAGTACGAAACTGCACTTCAGTGAGCTTTCCACTGAGCTGCTTCCAAGAAAAGTATGTAGTTCTAGGGCAGGTGCAATACAATTCCAGATTTATGCTTGAGCATTCAAAAGATACCTGAGGCATTACCTAAGACAACTTCCACTGAACTTAAAGCTCCAGTGGAAAAAGAGTGGGATTTTTGAAACATCAGTAAATATAGTACCTCCACTAATGAGTCATCAACAAAATCTAAAGAGAGGAAAATGCCTACCCAGCATTTCCAAGGTGAGGTACAAGAGAGCACTCTGAGTGTTCTCAGCATACGTTTCAAGCTCCTGGATGTTACGGTATGCTCTATCGTCCAAATTCTTCTCCTGTAATAGGAACACAGAACTCCAGTAAAATGTAAATATAACTGCTACTTGTACAAGTTTATTACTACAGCCATGTCAGCCTGATTCACTATTAGAAAAAAAAAGGACAAAATTAAGAGATAGAAAGAGAGTATAAACTCAGATAGAAGTAGTCACTAAAGCTTACAGCAAGTCTAACATAACCAACTACCTACAGGCAACTGCAGACAAGTCTGGTTACTGGAGCAAACAGAATTTTTTGCAATAGTGAGAAATTAGAATTCTTAATAAAAAAAAGATACAATCAACCAAAACATCACATGGTATTCTTACACTATGGGGTTGCCAATTTTAACATTTAATTTGTATCTGAAGCACAAAGAAATTTAGATAAACAGGAATGTATTTTTTAAAGCAGGCACTAAAATCAATCCATCAAACACACACATGATTTCAAAGTCATATGCAAATACCCCCCAAAACACAACATCTTCCATCATTCTTCCTGTCCTAGTGGCTTTTGTGGTTAAAACACACCAGTTTTAAGATTATAAAACTCTGAAGTCTTTCATAGCAATGACACTCCGCAAGTAACTGAGCATCAATTTCTCAAGGTATAACTCCATGAACTTTAGCAGCAAAGCTAGTTCAAGGAATTCCTGCTCTCAGCTATTCATTCTTGCCCTTATGTCAGAGTTGGTAGCAGCATCACTGTACCAGTGGAATTCTTCCTCTTGTTCGTTGTTTTTTTTTTCTCCCCAGAACAAAAATTATTTTAAAATTCATGTGATTTGAATGCACCAATTTACAGCACTTATAAAAAAGGCCACAGCCATAAGGAGAAGCTGCAAAGCGTGGCAGAAAGGTTCAGATGATCATTTAATTTTTGAGATTTTATATCCATGACATCACAAGAGAAGGCGATTTAGGGGCAAAATTGGCATCCTAACACGAGAGGCAAGAAGGAATAAGATTATGCCAATAATGTAGATTTGTGCAACTTTTTGCAATAAACAAGATGCCATTTCTCTTGGGGCAGGATTGGAATGACACACAAAAAAAGAGACCATGCACAAGTTTCTCTTCTTGCCTCTCTTCGTTTCCATTTCTATTAAAATGCCATTTTCCAGAATTCTTAACAGTTGCGTATGGGGACCTCGCTACTTAACCCCATAGGATGGCATTTCCCTCACTTACATACAGAAAGGTATCCAAGTGTAACTCCCAATGGATCACCTCTAGGAGTAACCACTTCAAATCAGGAATACAGACAAACAACAGAAAACATGAGCACGGATACACTGGTTATCAGAGCAGGAAACAAGAAAGATGTGGACTCACAAACTGCTTATATTTTAAAGTAAAAAATAAACAAAGGATTCTATTAGCAGTTTTGGCCAGAAAGAACAGAAACTATGAGTAGGGGCATCAAGGAAGAATTAAAAGGAAATATAGCAGTACCATTCTGAAAGAGAAATACTACTGTCTGGAAAAGATGAACAACTTATGGTTTTGTTTTACATGCAAACACATAAAAATAAGGGGGGGGAAAAATATGACTAAAACCAGAATCAGACTTCAAATGGTAAATACTTACTCTTTCATCAATGATCTTCATGAACCACATTTTAGTCAAGTTATGTCTCTTGACAGCCTGAAAATTATCAAATAAAACATCCATGTTAATGTATACAAAGTGATGGTTCTACTGCATTCTGAAGGCTGAAATATATTTTAGATAATCCTTTTCTTACAAGGATTGTATTCACTGGGTTAAAACAAAGTCAGAAAATGAGAATCTTCTTCAAATACAAAAATTTTCAACTGGCATTTGGTACAAGTTGTTGTACGGAAAAAAAAATGAAATCTTGGACATCAAGCCGGGTAACTTGGAAAATATTTTTGAAAGTAATTTATTGTTTCATGGAGTCATACATTCCCACTAAATCTTTGCAGATAACTGTTCGGTTTCCAAAGAGAACAATGTAAACAAAACTTATGGAGCAGATTTCTCACAATCTTAGCCTTTATAGCTCACTTTCAACGTCTTTACATCCATTATATTTGTAAGTATTTTTTCAAGGTTTGACAAGACTAGATCTTGTTGATTCAACAAAATCTGCTTGAGGAAGTATTTGGTACCTGAAAAGGCAATTTTAAGACACAACTACAAATGTCAGTTTCACTTCTCACTTGTTCATCTTGAGTATCATTTTGTAAATTAAATCCTCGAAATAGTCACAGGTCAAGACTTAAAGCACCAAACTGAGTTCTGCTAAATTACCCAATTTGTACATTACATCCATTTTGAGATACCTTCATTCAAACACACAGGTCCTCATTTTTCAAAAGTTTTGAAAATTGGGTAATTAGCGAATGGCGGATTAGGCCTTGCTTTTCGGGTGCTCAAAATGAAGAAAGATCAAGTAGCATATAGTTACCATATAAGTTTATATTAAAAATCACTGAGAGTTGAGCTATTAATAATTCTAGAAATATTATTAAAAGCTATTTATATACTTTACTAGTGCATAAAACTCTCAGAATCCAAATGTCAGTATTCTCGGATACACAAAACTTCAGAAACACCTTTAACATGATAAAATAGTATTTATTCTGGAAAAAACAAAATTGTCCTCGTACAAACTCAACAGCAAGAAAAGAGTATATGTAAAACATGCTGTGCAAAAGACATGCTAATCCTGTTAACAGCTCTGCAATACTTGTGAGTTCAGCTGTGTTTCTAAGAATTGCAATGTCACCCTTGAACATTTGTGAAGCCCTGCTCTTCCAATAGGTCATTCTTGGGGTATTTACTGAAATGTAGAAATAATATCACACCTTGAGTGTAAAGGTCACCAGGTCAGGCTGGATTGTTAGTCCACTCTAGCACTCTGCACTGTTCAAAGCTGTCAGAGTTCCTAGAAATACTTTCTGAATTATTTTTCAACATATTATTTCACAACCAGTTCTGTTTGGATTGTCTTATAATGGTCTTCCTTCACAGAAATCATGTGTGAGGTGAAATCTTACCACAAAGACAGGCCAGTTCTTTCTTCCACTTCAAAACTGATTTTCTCTTTTGTGAGTATGACTGGCAGTCCTAGCGGCTGGAAAGGGTTGCAACTGATACCTCAATATCTGAATGATTTATACCTGAATGTTGTACTGGTTTTGGCTGGGATGGAGTTAATTCTCTTCACAGTAGCTTGTATGGGGCTATGCTCTGGATTTGTGCCGAAAGCAGTGTTGATAATACGGAGATGTTTTCATTACTGCTGAGCAGTGCTTACACAGAGCCAAGGCCTTTCCTGCTGCTCACACCGGCCCGCCAGCGAGCAGGCTGGGGGTGCACAAAAAGTTGGGAGGGGACACAGCTGGGACAGCTGACCAAAGGGATATTCCATAGTATATGACATCATGCTCAGTTTTATTAAACTAGAGGGGAGGTTGGCAGAGGGGTGCCTCTGCTCAGAGACTAGTCAGGCATTGATACACACACCCCACACTGATACACACACAAGCTGCCTGAAATTAAAAGTGGTCGAAAGCACATACACAATTGTACACAAAACTAACTTGTACCTAACCCACTCAATCAGACAACTAAATGAAAGGATATCTTCAGAAACAAAAATAAGTTCAGGAACACTTGAAAATGAGACAAAAGTATTTGGAGAGAAAACAAGTCATGTTCCTGGAATTTTGCCATATGCTGGAAGAGAGACAGAAAGAAGGAAATAAAAAGCAAAGGCACAGACAGATTGACATGCAAAACGACCAATTCTACATTAAAAGTATCACCTTACGTGCATCTTCACTTCTCATAATCCCATAAAAAGGCTCACAACACTTGCCAGTCTTCATTCTAATTGTACAAGCACTTTGTTGTGGCTAAGGCACATACTTTATCTGAGCTGGAGACACCTATGAATAGCTCTGGTCTTCCTAAAAGTGATGGTAACAGGTGTTTTATTTTACTTCTTGGCTTTACCTATGTTTTCTCTTAGTTAAACAAAGTGTATCTTGTTTAAATCCCAATTTAATATAAACATGAGCATTGACAGACAGAAACAAATGCTCACTTATGCTTTATTTCACATTTGAAGGAGGAAGAGTCAGGAAGAGGCCACAGTTTCAGCACTGCCAAAAATCACTGAAAGAGGATTTGGAAAGGACTCATTTTTGTTGTCTCAAAGGTGCAGCAGGGTGGATGTGAAGCCAAAATGGCAACAAGTGAAATGTTGTAAACCCAGCGTTACAGTTAGTATCCTGCTTTCCCCGAGATTTTAACAGGTACAATGCAGATGAAGAATATTTGGATGAAGACTCCACATTTCACTGCCTGCTTTTCATCAGATCCACAAACCTAACTACCTATGGGATCTATGTTAACTGTATTAGTTGTGGACAATGGAGTTATATCCAGTTGGCGGCCAGTCACGAGTGGTGTC